ATCAGGGTGAGGGTAGAAGGATTGGGCTGTGTGGCAGAAGTCTGTCTGTAAAGGGATTGGAAAATAGAACCTCTCCTCGGGGACAGGAATGTTGGGAGTATTGCTGAAACAGGGATTTGAGCCCAGAGAGACAAAGTCAAAGCCAAGAATTAGAACCGAAACCTGAAGAAGAGACAGGGTCTGAATCCTGGGACTCAGACTACGAACAAGGTCAAGATGACTGAGTGGCAAGATCACCTGCAAACAGATTCTCCCTCAGCACTGTACCTCAACTTCTATGCTCCATCCCAGTGCAATCATGTCACCTGAGCTGCATTGCTAAGTAACAAACTACAAACTGGCCTAAATCTGAAACTTATAATACATCTTCAAAAAAATAAAAATAAAAGCATTCAAATCACCAGGGAACACAAACAAAACCATTGTCTGCATTACCCAAAAACAGAACACTAAAAGTTCAAATTCCTGTGAGTGGAAAAATAAACACCAAATACCCACAGAACTATGGCTATAATATTGTGTGTCCCGGGAGGGTGGCAGCAGAGTGTATGAGGAAAGATTCCCAGAATGAAAAGGTCCCACAGCACATGCTCAGTACCGACCACAGGTAGAGACGGCTTAGGCTCCCAGTGTGGCTTTGTGTAGGGCTTGCAAGTGTGTGGGGCTTGAGGTGGCTGTGTCAGAGGGGCAATGTTTCTGGGGAGAAGGAAGCAAAGAGAAAAGGGGAGGTGCCATTTGGAAACATGGTTGTGAAGTGGCAAAGGAAGAGGGAAAATTTTAAGATGTCATAGAAATAAAAGGGAAGTATAAGCAACCTCCCCAGTTGTCATCAATTAAAGAGGCTAAAACAAGGATACGAGGCAGAGTGAAATTATAGTACATGACCATGGGTTCTGATAAAGTAGAAAGAATGCAGCTGGAGAGTGGGTGGAAAAAAGGAGTGAGAGGGGAAAGGTGATTGTTGCATATGTCATAGGAGGGAGTCAAGGGACATGATTTTAACTAGATAGCAACAAATAAAGTAAGACAGAAAATGAATGATGAACACTATATATAAAGAACCTGCCAGATGGACATGTAAATGGGGTTGAGCAGTTGGAGGGGGTATCTCACTGAGTGTACCTTTTAGTATGATTGTGACTTTTGCAATCATGTTAATGTTTTTCTATGTTCAAAAACTGAAGTGCAATGAACAAGAAGAGAGATTAAATTTGAATACTATCAGAAACAAATAAAGTGAACTGAATTCCAAATGAATTGTATAACCACGCTAATGTTGGGGGAATACTAATCTAGTAACTCTTGAGCACAGTATTTTTGCTATACACCTTCATTGTAAAAAAGAAAAAAAAAAGGTGAATTCTTCTTAGTACTATATTTTGTAATGTTAAAATTTTTGTATGGACTGTAGGATTGAAGAAATGAGTATGATATTGGCAGCCCATGTTTAGAGAAAAAATAAATAGGAAAATAGTAAAAGGAAGAATTATTTGTTCTATGGGAGTTGAGAGGGTGTGTGTGTGTTGTGTGTGTGTGTGTAGGAAGGAAGGGAGAGAGGGGCAGAGAGATTCTTCCCTTGAAAGGAACTAGAAGCAATGACTCCTCCATAGCAATTGGCACACATTAACTCCCAAATCTGTTTCCAAATGTCATTCCCCAGCTAAAAGGAAGTAGATTCCTTGAGGAAATAGTCAATTTCAGAGGTTGGCAGGGGAAAAGCAGGTAAACCTGAAACATTTCTGTGTGCCCCAAAAAGCAGAAAGTGTTTTTTACATGATGGGAACAGGTTAAAAGGACAGCATAAAGGTCCACCTTCCCAAAGCTAGTGCAATTTGATCATCAAAACTAATTACTAACAAATAGTAGTAATTTATAGCCCTTTCAATAATATAAGGATTCATGTATTCATACTGATAATTGAATAGGAAAAGTACTCCACTCAAAAATATAGGTAGAGGAATGGTAGAAATCATTATTCACAGAGTAATCACTGATTCAGGGATCACTCATTGATGGTTGCTAAAACAAGTAGATGAGGGTTTGATACATAATAAGATAGATACTTTCATCACCTCAAGTAGTGGAGAGATTTGGCAGGTCCCACCTAATCAAGTGATTAAAGTTAACTTGTTCAATAATAGGACACATGAATACCATATGATTCTGATGTTATGCACTGGGAAGGACCCAGCATCATTTCTGTGCTATTCCTGCTAGATGTGCATGAGAAAAATTGAAACAAATCCAAATTAATGAATATTCCCAGAAATAATTGGCCTCTACTTTGTAAAAAAGGAAGGAGTGATAGAGGGAGAGAAGGAAGGAGGGAGCAAAGGAAGGGAGGGAAGGAGGAAGGGAGGAAGGAAGGACAGGAGGAAGGAAGAGAAGGAAAGAAGAGAAGGAAAGAGTAAGTCAACAAACAGCATGAAACAGAAAGCAACTATTCCAGATTAAGGGATCCTGGATGAACAGCAAATAGATGCAATGCATCATCCTGGATAGGAATCTGAAATGTGTTTTAATGACATTATGGGGACAATGGATGAAATTGGAATAAGGACTATAGATTAGGCCGTATTGTAGTAATGTTATATTTCCTGAATTTGAAAACTAAACTGTGGTTTTATAATACAGTCTTTGTTATTAGGACATACACAGAAATATTTAAGTATAAAGAGCATCATGCCTGGAACTAACTGACAAGTTGCAGAAGAAACACTGAAAAAGAAAGAGAATGTAAGATGTTAACAATTGGTGAATCGGAGGAAAGGGTGGCAGTTCATACTATTCTTGCAAATCACCTGTAATTTTGAAATTATATCCAAATAAATTTGTTAAATAATTGATAGGGAGAAACTATAAAGGAAATATGTTGATCTATGTACCACCTAGAAATTATACCATAATTTTTAAAGAACTGCTTCAGAGCTCTGAAACAATACTGTCCCCGCACCCCACAAAGGTCAAGAAGTGCTGTAGGGAAGCAGTTGGCAGAGCCACTGCTTCGTTTGCTTCAGGGAGCAAGGTGGGTGGTCACTGTTGCAACTGTGGGAAGGGTCAACCTGCACGTTCAGAATTCAGTCTGGCATCAGTTGTAATCTCTCCTCTTTCATTTCTGATTGTATTTATTTGGGTCTTCTCTCTTTTTTTCTTGATGAGCCTGCTTAAAGGCTTGTCAATTTTGTTTATCTTTTCAAAGAACCAGCTCCTGGATTCATTGATCCTTAGAAATGTACTTTTAGTGTCTATGTCATTTAATTCTGCTCTGATCTTGGTTATTTCCTTCCTTCTGCTTGCTCTGGGCTGTCTTTGTTGTTCCTCAAGTTCTTGTAGATGTAGGGTTAGGCTGTTTGTTTGAAATGCTTCTATCTTTTTTAGGTAGGCCTGTATTGCTATGAACTTCCCTCTCAGGACTGCCTTCGTTGTGTCCCATAAATTTGGGGTTGTTGTAAGTTCATTTTCATTTGTTTCCAGAAACTTTTTGACTTCTTTCCTAATTTCATTCTTGACCCATTCATTGTTTAATAGCATGCTATTTAATCTTCATGATTTTGAGTGCTTTTGGTACAACCATTATGGAAAACAGTATGGAATTTTCTCAGAAAACTAAAAATGGATCTGCCTTTTGACCCAGCAGTTCCACTGCTTGGATTATATCCTAAGAACCCTGAAACACCAATTCAAAAGAACCTATGCACCCCAATGTTCATAGCAGCACAACTTACAATAGCCAAGTGTTGGAAGCAACCTAGGTGCCCATCAGTAAATGAATGGATCAAAAAACTATGGTACATTTATACAATGGAATTCTATGCAGCAGAAAGAAGGAGCTCTTACCCTTTGTCACAGCATAAATGGAACTGGAAAGCATTATGCTAAGCGAAATAAGCCAAGCAGTGAAAGACAAATACCATATGATCTCACCTTTAACAGGAACCTAAACAACAAAACAAACAAACAGGCAAAATATAACCAAAGACACTGAAATAGAGAATAGGCTGACAGTGTTCAGAAGGGAGAGGGGAGGGAATTGCAGGGGAATTTTAGGGGAAAAGGGGAAGGGTTTACAGGAACAAGTGTAAAGGACACATGGACAAAAACTAGGGGCGGGTGGAAATGGGAGGGAGGTGGGGTGGGCTGGGTGGGTGGGCCGGGATGGATGTAAAAGATAGAAAATTGTACTTGAACAATAATTAAAATAAAATAAAATAAAAAGAATTCAGGCTGGGGCCCACAGTGGCAGAAGTAGACCCAGGTTACCAGATGCAGAGGGCAGTTCTTAAGCCACTACATCATGTTCCTCCTAAAATCTGCTCTTCTTATTCTGATTACTTTTTCCCCTGATTATTCCACATAGTAACCTACTAGCCATATTCAATTTAGTATCTTATAGTAATCGATATAGCAGTCAGATACCCACATGGCTCTGAGGAGCAGAAAAGCAGTAATTCTGAAACAAGAGAGACAAGGAGAGCGACTCAAGTATAATTTAGTTCTTGAATTTTTCACTATGTTCTTATGTTCAAAAGTCATTGATTGACCAGAAAAGCAACATGATTAGTTTGCATTTAGAGTTGTGCCTTTGTGAATTTACATAAGGTTCTTTTCTGTGGCCTAAACAAATATTGGGTTGTAAAGCCATGACAGGTCTTAATAAGTGAATTGAGACATTTCTTATATTTACATTTTCATAGAATGAAATAGCATTGTAATCTTTTCATAAAACACTCTCACATCAGGCCATGATTTGATTTCCTACCTGTTCAGAATATCAAGTTTTGCATTTCTTTAACTGATAATGTATTTTTGTGAAGCAACATAGTAAGACAGAAATCATCCTGGAGATATTTATAATAGTACTTAGAGCAAACTTGTCAAAGACTCTTCTCAAAGGTTGTTTTGGGTCCTGAGGAGGTATTTTTAGTAACTGTATTGAATATGTTGTCACATAATACAACATTTCATTGATTTATTTGTATTATTTTTGTATCTTCCTGCAGGCAGAGAATTCAGCATTGACTTTGGAAAATGAAAATCAAAGGGAACAGTATGAGAGATGTCTTGATGAGGTAGGTGGAATGGAGTGCTTTTTGGTAAGAGGCCACACTGTTCATGATGTCCAACCTTTTGGTGTCTCTGGGCCACACAGGAAGCAGAAGAGTTGTCTTGGGCCACATATTAAATACACTGTGACACATAATCACAAAATAAATCTCATAATGTTTTAAGTAAATTTATGATTTTGAGTCAGGTTGCATTCATAGCCATCCTGGGCTGCCTGTGGCATGTGGGCCACCGGTTGGACACCCCTGGTTCCTTAGATCGGAATATCTGTTCACTACCAGCCTGCACAAGACAGGAATGTTTTGTTCTCCAAAGGAAGGTTGTGAACAGGTGCACATTGAGAAGGAAGGTCAGTCTACCTCTCTCCATACCCCATCTTTCTGCTCTCTCCCTAGTCCATTACCCAGGCATCTTGTAACTTCCTTTTGGTTATTGTTTAACATTCTTGGGCATGGTTTGGGTGGACTTCACTGTATGATGGATTCCTCTGTCCAGCAGGTATGATCCTCCTTACTTGTGAGTGCAGCCACATAAGGGCATGCTGCGCCTCGTCCCCAACAGGATACCCTTCTGAAAAAACTTAACCTGACAAGTGGGGTGGAGTGATGTGCACAGTTGTTAGCCAGAGGGAAAAGTCAGTATATTGGCAACAGCTGGAAAGAGAAAGGGAAATGAAGAAAATTTGAGCAGAACGGAAGACAGGGCCCATGCATGAATAAACTTTAGAAATATATTTGATGGTGATGGAGGGATGAAGGTAAAGATGGTGGGCATTTCAGAATTCCTGAGAAATGAGAGGAAAATTCTCCCTTCAACCATTCCCCTGTCACTCTCGTCAAGAGGTATGCTGTCAGTCCACACTGTATGGACCAGTTAGGCCTGGTCACTCATCTCACTGACAGCTCTCGTCTGACATTTTGTTGGTGATTAGAGTTATTAATTTAATGGGGTGACATTTTTAGTTGTCTGCCTAATAGTGTAAGACTTACACATATCCTTCTAGAAGATTGAGTTTGAGAGGTGTTACAATATAGCTTTTAAGAAAATAAGAAAACTATGTTTAATTACGTTATCAGTGAAAACTATCTTCAGTCTTTTCCTCTTCACTAAAAATTGAGAAAACTTATTCCAACAAACTCCTCTTGATCTTTCTTACCACTTCCCGCCCCGCCCCCCCACCTCAGTGTCCCATAAGGCGATGAAGTTATACAGGCTGAGATCCCAGTTCTGACATGATCACCGTCACCATACATTCCTCCCTTCTCCCTTCAAACTGGAAGTGGCCTCCCTCCCCAGAGTTCCAGTTGTGGTGGGCATTTTCCTACACCAGTGATTCTTGAAAGGTCATCCCTGGGCCAGCAGCACCAGCCTCTCTTGGGAACTTGTTAGAAATGCAAATTCTCAGGCCCACCCCAGATCTCTATAATTAGGTGCTGGGAGTGGGCCTGGCAGGTTACCTGTGTGTCAACAAGCCCTCCAGATGATGCTGAAACACCCCTATAGGTTGAGAGCCGCTGTCCTCATGATACAGGCCACCTTGCATTGCACTTACTATGTGTGGAGAAGAACCCTCAAATTGGCCCTAGAAAAAATTTAACTGTTCAATATTTCATATTTGAATTGTTTAATATTTCCAGCCATATATATCAGTTACTTAAGATGGTATCTGCATTTCTCCACCCTGTCCAGACTTTAAAAGGCTCATCCATTTTTAGTGTCCAAAATTGAATTAGTTGACATGAAAGGGAAGATGATGACTCAGTCTAGTGAGACCAGTTTGTCACTTTTCACCCCTGGTCCCCAGGTTATTGGTCCAATCAGAGTTTAGGGCAAGAAAAACCAAATAGATCAAAAAATATTTAAAGGAACAAATATTGCCTATGAATCATATATATTGGTCATCAAAGTTTTACTTTAACCTCCTGCACAGAAATTTCCAGTGAGACTTAATCAGTATTCAGAATTCAAATTTGTATGAATCACACCACAGTAATGTCTTATTTGTCACAATTCTCTTAGAAGTTACCCCTCCCCATCAATCACAAGGCTCACAGCATTTCTTCTTTTTTAACTTTATTTTAATAGTTGTTCAAGTACAGTTTTTAGTCCTTTACTCCCATCCCAGTCCACCTACCCATTCCTCCCCACCTCCCTCCCATTTCCACCCTCCCCCCAGTTTTTGTCCATGTGTCCTTTATATTGGTTCCTATAAACCCTTCCCATTCTCCCCTGAAATTCCCTCCCCTCTCACCTCTGGTCACTGTCAGCCTGTTCTCTATTTCAGTGTCTTTGGCTATATTTTGTTTGTTTGTTTTGCTGTTTAGGTTCCAGTTAAAGGTGAGACCATATGGTGTTTGTCTTTCTCTGCCTAGCTTATTTCACTTAGCATGATGCTTTCCAGCTCCATCCATGCTGTCAAAAAGGGTAGGAGCTCCTTTCTTTCTGCTGCATAGAATTCCATTGTATAAATGTACCATAGTTTTTTGATACATTCATTTGCTGATGGACACTTCTCCAAGGAGGACACACAGAGGATCCAGAGACACATGAAAAGATGCTCAATATCACTAGCTATCAGAGAGATGCAAATTAAAACCACAAGCAGATACCACTTCACACCAGTCAGAATGGCCATCATAAACAAAGCAACAAGCAACAAGTGTTGGAGAGGTTGTGGAGAAAAGGGGACCTTAGTGCACTGTTGGTTGGATTGCAGACTGGTACAACCACTATGGAAAACAGTATGGAATTTCCTCAGAAAACTAAAAATAGATCTGCCTTTTGACCCAGCAATTCCACTGCTGAAATTATATCCTAAGAATCCTGAAACACCAATCCAAAAGAACCTATGCACCCCAATGTACATAGCAGCACCATTTACAATAGTCACAGCATTTCTTTAAGGAAAATTGTATTCTGTTTTCCTCATGTTTCCTGTGCCTGAATTCTGAATATTTCATCAGAATGTATTGGGCAGAATGTAAGTTTTCACCCACAAAATCATTTCTTATGAATTTTCCGTGGAAGACAGAATTTTTTAGAGAGAGTGTCCCTTTGTTCTTAACTGCAAACATTAACTGTTGCCAAAGAGGTGATTTGCAACCAAGAAGTACTTTTGAGCAATGAAAATGTTTTGTATTCCTAAACACTGGCTCCTGGTTGCACTTGCCAGTTGTTTTGTAATACTGCGCAAGGGTGCATAGTCTGTTTCCATGCATCGTAAGAGAACACTCTCAAAGGGATACTTGAATGTAGTAATAATACCAACTGGAATACCAAATTCTCTTCTAGGCTTTTTATACTAACTAGACAAACTAACAAGATCAGTTCTTGTGTAAGTTATTTCCTTGCTAGTTTCCTTGATAGTTTTCAGAAAACATACACAGATGGATAAAATAGAAATTTAAAATGTTCTCCAATCCATTTTGAACTGCTTCTTATTTTTTGGGAAAAGAAGAACATTGAGGATTTGGGGAAAACACTTGGTAGTCAGAAATTCCCTCTGTGTGTTCTAATGAAAGGGTGTGTTTCTTCAGAAGGAAACGGACCCACCTCCATGATACACACAAACACACGCACACTGGCTAGGCAGGTACATGCACACAAACGATCACACACATGTGCATGTACATGCTTCACCACTTCACCATCACCTCTACTGCTACTTAGCTCCTCATCACCTCACCTGGCAACACAAAGGCAAAACCAAGGACTGATCTGGACTTTCCTTTGGGGATCAGGTTTTAATGTGAGTCTAATGTCTTTGTCTAGCTATTTGACAGACAGGTTTACTGGCAAGTAGTGAATTGGTATTTATTCTCAGTATTGCTTTGACCAGTTCCTTTAAGGCCAACTCATTCCCATGTAGAGAAGTGTAATGAGACATACAAAATAGGTAAAATAACATCTCCCTCAAGTTGTTGCTGCCTTGCATTTAGATGGATTCAGTTGTGTCCTATACCACTGTATTGGGAGTCAACCTCACCCAGGCCTTAGGAAATTAAGGTGCCTCCAAGCTAGCAGAAGTGAGGGGGGTGGATAATCACAGAGGAACGATGTGAAGGGAAATCACAGGGGAAATGAGGTGCACTGGGAACTTAGAGAATGCACAGCACAGCCACCAAAGGACAAGATGAGTGGTGGGTGGGTGGGCAGGTGGTAAGGGGCAGAACTGAAAGGGATTTTTAGTGGAAGGAGCTGGAACAGGTGAAGTTTGGGATCTAGTAGAGCATGTGGTTCTTGCCCTTTCTTGCCCATTGGTCTTACCTGGGAAGATTTAAAAATACTGCTGCCTAGGCCCCAGTTTAGGGACTGATCTGATTCTGGTTTAGAGTGCAGCCTGGGAATTAGAATTTCTCTAGTACCCCAGGGGGTTATAATGTTCAGCCACAATGAGAACCGCCACCCTTAGGTTCTCTGAATGCTGTGCCTTAGAGAGCATTTTTAGAAAGCTTCTATGCATGAAGGCTTCATTCAACTTGAATGATAGAAGAACAACAGACCCATGAGGAAGTTGTGGATTATTTCCTATTCCTCAACAGTGTCTGAGTAATCAAACATAAACCCTATCTCAGTGTTTCTCCAGGTGTGTTTCTGGGCCTCTCCTGTGTCAGAAAGATGTGTGGCGATTGCTATAAATGCAGATTCTCACACCTCACTCAGTCCTTCTTAGGCAGAAGGAGGGGTGAGGGAATTGGCAATATTATCAAACTTCCCAGGCAAGGCTTTTGCACACAGAAGTTGGAGAATTTGCCTTCCTTCAGACCATCCAGGTTGGCCAGGGTCTGTGCCATCAGTGAGGAAGCCATATTGAGTTCTTTCTGACTTCTCTATCTCTGCACTTCAGGGGGAAGTGCAGAGATAGAGAATGGAAGGGATAGAGATAGGAAGGGAAGGGAAAACTAGACCTGTGAATGTAGTTCAGAAAAAGTGAAAGGCAGTAGAATTTCTTTTAAACCAAAGCTAAATAAAGGCAGAAGTATGTTGCTAAGAATAGTTCTTAACTACCTCTCTGATTCCTATTCTCTCTACAATACCAAGACTAGATTGTGGAGTCATTATCAGGACATTCTAGTCTCTGGAATTTCTCCGAGACCCAATACAACTCTTAGCTCATACTGGGTACTCATGCATATTTGTTGAATGAGTTAAATGAATGGAGTTTACCAGCTATAAGTTTATCTCCACACTGGTTTTCACTGGAATACCACATATATGTTTAAACGAATTTCTCCCATTCCCAATATTTTATAAAATGTTTTACAGGGTAAATAAGTAATATAGGTTCTTACTGATTTATATTTACATATTCATATTACACACACATGCACACATACTTCATTCCTTTACAAATAAAACCTCTTATGCTCAAACCATTCTTTCTTAACTGCTTACCTAAAAATGTATTTTACTCTATGAAGTTTGAACGACTTAATGCAGATTTAATATTTGTGAGATGACTACTTTATATCAGGTACTGTCTGAGGTGGGTTCTTTGGTCATATCTATTATCTCATGCATTTTTCACAGCCTAGATAGAGGTTGCCCCTCCTATCCTGTACATATCAGTACAATCAACATAAACACAGTCAGTATTTGAACCAGAGGCTTTCTAGCAATTCTGCCCAATGCTCCTCAGGATAACAAACCAAGCTAAAAAGCATAGAAATCTCCAAAGCACGTTTTCTAGAACTTGTGCTTTTTCAACCAATTGTTAAGTTATCCTGCTGACTTGGCCCTTGCTTTGCATGATAAAATAGCATGTGAAAGTATGAAAGTGAGACCACCAGGCCTGGAAGAGAGAACTGTCAAATCACAAGGACTTTGAATTTCTATTCCCTCCCCAGACTCCCAGCCCTGGGCTGTCTTAGGAAAGTGGTGAGAATTGGCTCCTCTGAATAAACTCCCAGGCAGGGCTTCTCAGTCACCTTCAGGGACTGTTTTGCAATAAAACAACCGACACCTCCACATCCCTGACTCCTCGCCCCTCTGCCCACCCTTTCCAGGGGAATGCTAGGAGGAATCATGACTTCTGGGAGCCTGACAGTGAAGAAGAACAAAGCTCTGTGTGTATACCAGCCAGGTGTTAGAGGAGTGGGTTTGTCTGAAAATTCTTACTGGGAGGAAAGGAAACACATACCTGGGGCCTCTCCTTGGCATCTCTGCTCACCTACAGCCCTGCTGAGTTCCCAGAGCAATGCAAAGCTAGGGGTTCTCCTCAGAGAGCTTCATGGAGGCTGTAAAACAAGCCAGGGGCTTTAGGACTGTCAACTTTGCTCAGTGTGTCTCAGTTCTCTCTGGTCCAGCCTAGCTACTATTGTTCCTTTCTTTGGAGAAGAAAGCTGTCAGGTGACACTGAAAGTTAATTGTTCTCATTAGCTGAGCTTACGAGTGTGTGATTATTTGCAACCCAAGTATTAAAGGTATAATCTGATCAGGACAGGGGCCTATTCCAGAGATCATTCTGTGACCTATTAGAGGTTGCAGGCTCCAAACAACTAACTGTTCAGTTGATATATCATGGAAGCTTAGCAGTTAAAAGTAGTAACAAAACCCAGGCTCTGTTTTCATAGATAGTTCCCAAGGAAGTACTTGTACAGCCTGCCTGCTGTTCTGCAAAGAACCTGTGAGTCCTTCTGGGTAATAAAACCCCGTGTCAGTAGGTAAAGAAATAATGCATTTGTGTATCTTTGTTCAATTTTCAGGTAGAGCAAACAGTTGTCCAAAGTACATGCTAGAAGGAACTGTATCAGAGATAGAGTCTAGTAAGCCTTCAGGGCCACATACTTGACTGCAAAGACAACATATTCACCCCTGCAGGCTGTTACAGTTAGGATATCCATTTATGTCTCCTGCTAAATCATGTAGAGAGCTATTTTATGTGGCCACTGTTCCACAGACTGGTTTAAGTGAAGGGCTGGTTTAGTGGAAGAAAAGAAAATATTGATATTGGGCAGTTTTATGAGAATGTAAATCAAATCCAAAGTTTTAGTTCAGAAAGAATTAAATTATTGACGGTATGAATTAACTTTGGTACATTGTTCCTCATTCAAGCTGTATGAATAGCTCAGTTCTTCTGTGTGTGTTTTTTTTAATTTGGCAAGAGTGAAATAGATGATATATATAGTTTGCCTTTAAATTCTCAGTTACTTCAAACTGAAATGAATGTTTAAAAACTGAAAGATTTTCAAGATTATCCTATTGGTCAGTTTATGTGGGCTGAATAACATTTATCACCATTGTGATCACACATAAATAAAAGGACAAAGAAAAAAGAAAAAGTACCAGTTACAGAAAACATGGTTTATTTTGGGCTATCATAGTTCTTAGGTATACTTCTTTAACTTATTCTGGGGGAAAAAAGCAAAGTATGAATACTTTTTCTTCAAAACTGTACTTTTAATGAAAGACTTTTCTGTTTTACTTAATGTCAAGAAACATATATTTGGAAAGGATTCTGACAGAAAAAAATACCTCTCATGCACTCATGCATATGACTTAACGAATCAATTACAGGCAATCTAATTCTAGTGATTTACTGCTTGTGGTGTGAATGCCTCCTAACCACAAGTTGATGGCAGCTTGTATTTTAATATTCTGTGAGACTTACTGGTAACATGCAGTTGTTAAGGATGTGCTATTTCGCCAATATTGAGTCAAAAAACAAGCTCCATGAAAACATCCTTACTGTAATCTGTTGCTTGATCCTAGATAGGGATACAAGCATACATAGTTTAGCATCACCAAAAATAAATTTATCAAGAGAAAAAGAAGATGGAAGTGTATCACTCTGCCTTTGGTTGAATGTGAGAATTACCAAGGTGATTACATGCTTATTACAATGTGTTATAATTGTGTCCCTGCCAACTTCCTACCAGCTATGCTCTTTCTGAAACCAAGGAACACACGCAGCCATCTAGCTTTGCAAATACTCTATAAATTTATATTGAATAAATGAAGGGTGAAATAAGTGAACAGAAGTACCTCATATCTAGGATATTTAAATATTTTGACTGATCTTTAATTCTGTCAGTTTCAGTTATCACACTAAATGTTTATGTATTAGCTGAAAAAAATCACATTATTTACCTGTCCACTTTAATTTTATCAATAGTAGCCATATTGGGTACAAAGCTTCAAGGTTATGATGAAGTTTAGTAAGTGATTTTTTGTGTTTTTGAAATCTGCAGGTGAAAAAGAAACCTTAGTAAAAACAGATATAGAAATTATGAGTGGTTATCTGGAAAAATGCCAGATCCTTGAAAATGTCAGGGCCAGAGACATGCCGTTGGTTTTACATGTGCCCTTAGCTGGAATTGTGTCACATGGCTACTTCTAAGCCAGTCATCATAAGGGAATGGAATTACCAAGATTGTCTCAGATTAATCATACTTCCTTGGGCTGAGATGGGCCCAGTTTTTCCCACTGTCCCAAGCCACCTGATACATAAAGAAAATTATAGAGTTCTGTTGATATATTAGTATGAATCATATTTGGATTTATATTGGAAGAAACTCAAAATAACAGTGGCTATTTTATTTCCCTCTCACATAGAAGTTCAGAGATAGACAGTGTAGCTCCATACATTATCAAGACTGGGCTTATTTTATTTTTCTGCCCAGCTATATTTAATATGTGACTTCCATTGTCAAGGTAGCTACTGAAGCTTTAGCATTCACTTTCATATTCCAGACAGGAAAAGGAGGAAGAAGGGTGAGCCCCCTTCTTAGAGATTTTCTATAAGCCCAAGAAAGTCTTCTTATAACTCATTGGCCAGAAGTTTGTTGCAGAATGACACTTACAACAAGGGCTGGGAAAGGTACTTTGATGTGCCCAGTCAAAAAATAAGGGTTTGTTAGTTATGAGGAAAGGCAAAATGAATATTGGAGTAAATAACTACCAGACTATTACAGGTAGCAATGACAAACAAAAGGCATAAATGAGACATAGGGGAGGAAAGTAGAACATATAGGGAACAATGAGTTTTCCCTATTCTCTGCCATTCTACCTATTTCTACTGCAAGTAATTTTATGCAGTCAAATAGTTCCACAGCAAGAGAATAAAAAGGAGAGGCAAAGGAGATTGTAAATCAGCAAAGTGTAAAAACTGTGTACAGATAATTAGGATTGTGTTTTGCACTATATCATTTTTTAGCCTTCTTGGAGTACTTTACATATGAATGGATACTATTTTTCCAAATATGGAAATACTTAAGTCGAGGTATGAATGATCTTTCCATATTAACTGTCTTAATTAGCAACAAGGTCACCTTTGGAAAAAAAAACAAAATATTACATAGAAGGGTAGGCTTATTATGAAAAGAATCAGGTCCCCTAGAAGTAGAGGAAAGAGACCAATAAGGAACTAATTAGCTACAGCAAGCTGTGAGAAACTTAGTGGTAAATTAGAGTCCATAGGTATGAAGTCTCACTATTATAATGACAACTCTTTTCTTTATTTTTTAAAGGTAGCCAACCAAGTTGTTCAAGCTCTACTTACGCAAAAGGTAGGTCACTTTCTGGCTTTATTATTTTCAAAGTGCCTATGTGAATAGATTGGAACTCATATTGTCAAACTAGGAAATTGTGATTGATAGATGCAATACTTACCTATTTATTCACTTAAGTTAAAATTGTGTGCGTTTTAGATGGTATATGAAGTACATCAATGACCAATAGAAGCCTAAAATTTAAACTCTTGGTAAAGTAATAGAAAGCCTTTGAAGATGAAAGATCTCCATGTACCCACATGAGTACTAAACCTATCATTTTCACTTAGTAAATGTAAACATTGGATAGGTTGATGGATCCCTCCAATTCTTACAAAATGAATAGCCTCTTACAGACAGCATTAAGAGAAGCCAAAATTTTAGCAAGAGGTCTTTGGGGTTATGAAAATTATTTAATTTCTCTGGTCCTTAGCTCCTCTTCTGTAAAATCGGGTAATGATGCCCACCTCCCAGAATTGCTGTGCTTCTTCTATGAAATGAAGCATGAAGAGCAGTTCTTACAGTGGTGGTAAATATACAATAAATGGCAGTATTATTGTATACTTGACAGTTGCTAACAGTAAATCTTATTCTCGCCACCCACCCACACACACACACACACACACACCCCACAAAAAGCTATGTGAAGTGATGGATATGTTAATTATCTTAATATTGGTAATTATTCCACAATGTAATATATGTCAAATCATCACATTGTACACTTTAAATACATGTGATTATATTTGTCAATTATCTTGTGATCAAGTTAGGGGAAAAACAAAAGGTAACCTCTAAACATTAAATTTCTATACTTGACTCTTTGCTGTCTTCCTATTCTGTCTTCAGACAACACATCATATTATAGGGTCAGAGTTGGTAAATAGAAGTATTTGCCCACATTTGGCTGGTGAATTTTATTTACCTTTTCTCATCTCTTTCCATAATATTTCTCAGGTGCTAAATTCTAGGTCTTTCACATTTTGTTTATTCTATTACTTCTCTGTGAGATGGAGATGTCCTCTATAAAAGGAAATCTTAAATCACGTGGCTTATTCAAGGAAGATGTGGCTAATGAGAGCAAAAATAATTTATGACATTTTGTTTTTTAATTGAAAATAATTTTATTAGGGGTTGACCACTTCTCATGGATATACTTAAATATTATTTTAAATTTATACTATAAAGGCATGATGAAAACATTTTTCTTAGAGTTTCTCCTCCAACTACTTCTGTCAAAATACCATGCTTCCTGATGCTTCCTGATTTTAAATGCTTCAGGTTTTACTTTAACATCAGGTTTACATGAACATCACATAATGTAATGAGATGTGAGTATGCTTATGTAAAGTTAGAATTATGTTCCATTGCGAATTACAAAAATCCAAAATAATTGTGGCCTACATAAGCTAAGAATGTTATTTATTTCTCACATCTAAATCTGCAGGAAGGTAGTACAGGTCTGGTATGGTGACACTGCTCCATAAAGTCCATGGAGTTCCTGCCACTCCTGGTTTCTATCTTGTCATTCAGTGAGACATGCCCTCCATTTCTGAGGTTACTTCAAGGTCCAACATGGCTGCTCTAGCTCCAGTCATCACATCTACATTCCAACCATCAGGAAGGAAGAAAAGCTGAAGAAAATGAAATGGGTAAAAAGGTACACACCAGCTGTCTTTTAAAAAGCACTTTCAAAAGCTTTCATATCTCCTTACATCTCCTTAAACAGACCCTAATCACAGAGCTACATATAAGGAAGCTAGCTGGTAACAAAGTCTTTGTTCTGGATATGTGTCTAACTGACATTTTGTTGGCATAATATTGTGGAAGAAGGGCAGAAACAGATGTTGAATGTTTACACTTTCTGTCACAACGTATTTGAATGCCTTTTCTTTTTCAAAGGCTTTAATTTCTCAGTGACTTCCCTCCTATTAGAAACTGTGAGCTTATTTAATTGCAAACCTAAGGACTGAAGGGAGCACTGTTGCAGCGCTATACATAACTTTTGAAAGATTTCCCATGCCTGTCTTTTTAAATGGTGCCTCAGGAAAGAGACAAGGAAACTGTCTGGTACAATATAAAGGAAAATGGGACTCTTCAGGTCAGCCACAAAAAAAAATAGCTACACAAATCCAAGTAATAACTAGTAAACAGATAAATCCACCTCAGTACAGTTAAACAGAGATACAGAAGGACATGTTACTGTGAGATTGCATACCTCAGGGACACAATCAGGCAGGAGGGGATTCCAGGGCTCTCTGAGATTCCACAAGAACCATGTTCTGCAGACACATGTGCTTCCCAGTTTGTACAGGGACTGTCAAATTGCTGCAACAATGACAGAAACTTCTTTAATTAAGAGCACAATATAGGAAATAAAATGTCTCCAAAATGCAGATGAGAAAACTAATTCAAAAGAGAATGTACCTCTTAAAGAGGCATGGAGTAAAAACAGAAATCTTGAGTGATTTATCCAACTCACAATAATAATCCTTGATGTGAATTAGAGTCATAACTATTCAGTTTTAGAATATATTATTTATTAAGACACAAAGGCAAATCTGTTGTGGTTTCAGCTCTTCTCTGGGCAACCAAAGAATCATTTTTCATGGCATACCCTGAATTGACCCAGATAAGCATCCTGAAGTAACAGAATGGACTTCTTTCCACAATAATAATAGAAAAAAATATTTCCATATACTTACCAGTTTCTGTTAAGTGCATCTATATCTCCCTAGTCAGCTAATTCAATTAATCTTGAAACTCTGTGGATTCCCTTAAGAGAGCAGACTGTACCTCCTTTAAACCCATAATGCTAAAGTGACAATATTAAACCCAGCTCATGTCCATTTATGACTCCGGTCATAGGCTTAAGTTGACAAGAGCAAGAACAATCAGTAATTGTGCTAAACTCATATTTTTGTCTGAAATACATTTTATCTTCATTAAGTCCATTACGTTCACTGAAAGTATAACTCTTGTAGATTCTTCTGTGTGTGTGTGTGTGTGTGTGTGTGTGTGTGTGTGTGTGTGTATGTACCACTAACACCAAACTTGGAAGAAAAGCATTTTTCCCTGCAGCTATTTTTCAGTACATCAACAACCTCAGCCTTAGCTGCACGTTCTTTAGGGTAACCGAATAGTTATATGGTGTTTTTTTTTCACCAACATAGAATAATGCTCCTGTATCTTGAGTCTGGCAATGTAGCCATTCAAATAGAAGCAAGACAAATTTGTAGCTTGAAACTGAAAGAGCTTCAAACTCCCACAAGTTTCCTTTGTAGGAGGGGCAGTCAGGCCACCTGGGCCCACTTGTCTAGCAATGGTGTGTATAGGATCTGGTGCCTTGAAGAGGGTCTGCTTATACAGGGCTTGGCAAAAGTAGGTTTAGAGTTGAATACATGAAACAAAGTTTATTATTATATCATAATATTATATTATTTTCCACACCAACAACTATAAACCTACTTTTGCCCCCCCCCCGGCCCTGTATTTACTGTGCACTTAAAAGGAGTCGCACCCCATGTCCAGCACTTTAAATGCACTGCGTCATTTTGTTTTCACTGCAGCCCTGTGAGATAGGAGTAAGAAAACAATTTGCCCACAGTTCTATTTGTCAGAAGTAGCAAAGCCTATCCTTTCCCCTGAGGTAATTGCACTCAAATTCCATGCTCTTGTCCTCTGCACCATCCAGCCTAATGATCCCTTTCAATCACTTACTGTTTTTCCCACTATAGTTCAGCAGGCAGAGGAGAAATTATGAAAATTAACAGGTGGATTGAAATCCAATCATTAGTTATGATTGCAGGAAATAAAACAAAAGAGCCAATAAACAAAAACAAAAGAGCCAAATAAAACAAAAGAGCAAGGTAGCCAATAAATTTCTTAGAACCTCTGGAAACATTGCCAGAACTCACCAGCAAGAACATTCAGACTTTTCTATGTATGGAGTCAAAGCTGATTCTGTAAATCTGGAGGCAAGCTTTCTCAACATCAATCTTGATTTGGACCTTAGAACTTCACAATTTCCAGGGACCTGAGAGAGCATTTAATCCTGAAACTGTCAACTAGCTTGGTAATTGGTTCAGTTCACTCTAATTACATGAACTGTTTAGCTATCACCCAGACTTAAATTGTTATAATCCAAATGTCTTTGGGATAAAGGCTCATACTATTCGGTTTGGCACAGAACTTATCACTTCCTACTAATGAGAGCTGGCCTGGTTTGGTCACACATTTAGTGACCTGCCTGGCCTTTTAATAGTGTTTGATGTTGAGGTCCTTGGTTGGTCCGAAATGTGGTCAGCCTTTTCCAGAAACAGCTTTTCTTCTCAAAGAAGTCTTAGAACCCTTGAAAGAGAAAGGAATGTATCAGTGACAGTCACTTAGAAGAGAGAGGCTGGTGGATCTGATGTCCATTAAGTTTCAGAAAGTGGTTGAGGTGGCTCTTCGCAAGCCTCCTCATGAAGCCACTAGGACAGCCCTGCTTCTGAAAGCCTGGTTTTGTACAGAAGCTCAGTTTACAGATGAGGAAACTGAGGCCCAACCAGCATAAGTTATTTCCTCAAGGTCATGTGTGCCCAGAGCCCAGGCCCCTTACCTCCCAATCTGATGTATTCCCACAATAAACACTGCATCTGGAATAGCTATACCATGGTAATATCATTTTTACATGAAAAATTAGATTTAAATAGTTTTCCACAATACTCTAATGATAATGTCAGTAAATATCCTGCTTCCAAGAAATCATCCTTTTCTCTAATTTACTTTGACAGGGAGCCAGGTAGTGGTTTTGCTCTGAATGCATGAAGTAACTGTACTCCACAGGAACTGAATAGCAGTGAATCTGGTGCAGGTGAAACTTGCAACATGTGGGTGGACCAGAGAAGTTAGGATTTGAGATTAGTAAGATTCACAGAGCCCTTTTTGATCAGTGTATGACATTGCTCAGTATATTTTGCCCTCACATTCAGCTGTAATTCTTTACTCTGTTTCCAAATGCTAGTGGCATACAGATTGCAAGGCAAACAGGTCTATTTTCTTGAATCCAAAGGCCATTATACTTTCTTACATGAAATTCAATTAAGTAAAGCCTTTGGCATTATTTCCCACTGATAAAATTACATATTGTGTCTTTCTTTTAATTTCAGAAGACACAACCCTGTGTTTTCAATGGGAGCCTCCACTGGAGGCCTGAGCCATGCCAGGGAGTCATAGGAAAGGGAGGGCTGTGCGAGAGGACAGACAGTCCAGCGCCTGCTGTGAGCCTCAGTCCCAGACAACAGCATCTAAACAGAGGAAAGTTATTTTATTTCTAGGGATTTACTTGGGAGGAATACTCTCGTTCTCGCCTCTGTAACTGTCAGTGTCAGAGCAGTAGCTCTTGTCCCAGCCCTCAGCCATCATATGTCCCTTTGTGTCAGATCCCATTGCGGGCATGGAGGAATTGAAGATGCCGGCTGCCGCTCTGCCAAGGTCGTGCTGTAGTAGTCAGAGAAACTGCTGTTTTTCTTTCTCTCTTTCCATCTATCTGGTCCAGTTCTGTTTATATATGTGTGCATGGGCATGCATACGTAGTTTTGATTGTAGTTCCCTGGGGTGATAGCTGTCCGGCATCAGCTGATCTCTACAGCTTCACTGAAGGGAACAAGAATGTTTAAAAGAACAACACAGGCAATTCTTCTATGCCTATGAATTTTCAGTCCAGCTCAATTCTGTTTGTCAGTTGATTGTAAGACAGGGTCAAATTCCTACAGCTTCCACTCCACCCTCTGCCCTGTGCTGGTCTAGATGAGCCAAGGGTGACCAACAGTCCTCCAGGTTGATAAACTGCATCTCTACTAATGAACTTTTACCGCCTTTAGTAATGACCATTGAAATTGGGCACTTGTACAAAACTCTCTATAGTATATATTGATTTTTTCTTTCTTCTTTTAATTTTTTTACCCATCTGAAGAACTCTTTTGAGTTATTCTCAGTTTTGCTGCTAAAAATTGCTGATGGTGTTCCTTATAGGTCTCCTTTCTACTTGCAGATCCACATTTGTTTGTTCTTGTTCCCACACCTTCACATGCAAATAAGAATAAGTGGTTTTCCCGCCCAACTGGTACTATTAATATTTATTTACCTCAGAGTCAAGTTTTATTAATTACTTAATTAGCAGTAGTAAAAACGATTAGTGTTTGGGAGCAGGACGTGTTATATACATGCTAATAACAAACATTAGCACTAATGAGACACAGACAGAGGTTGAATTCTAAATGAAGAAAATAAATTTAGCCTTTTAATTTGAACCGTGCCTAGGCCCCCAAAATGGCCTCCATCAAACGGCTTGCATGCTCCTCTGCACGGGCACTCACACTCCCAATCCCACTTTTGATGCCCGGTGCCCTCCTAGGTCCTGCACCCAGGAGCCTCAGGAGCCTCGTTCTGAACATGGCATTTCTTTCTCTACTTGCACTTGTAGGCAGCAATCAGTTGAAGACATCCCATGCATAAGCTACACCCATTTAACTAAAAAGGTGAGAAAGCTGTGCAGTGGGCTACACCTTGGCCTGTTTCTTTGACTCCTCTCCCCTACCCACCCCTATAAATATAACGAATAAGCGTGGATATGATGTGGCTCCTCAGGAAAAGCCTCAGCAGCTGATTCTCTCCAGCTTCATACTTAGCTTGGAACAAGGTTATGGAACAGGCCCACTCATATTTGTGACTCCTGTTTAGGCCCTGGGGATCAGAGCTGTTGACTGGTGCTCTCTCTTGCTTACAGAGCTTTAATCCATAGATGGGCAAAGTAGAAGTGTTGAGAAACTTTAACTTTCTTTATGATACCATCACTAGAGAATAGAATTTATCATTATCATTCCCTTTAACAAAATAATTGCAGAAGTTTGTTAAGGTCCTACCATATGTGATGCTGTGCTAGGAGATAGAATAAGGAAGGGTCATCAAGGAACGTATATAAAAGACACATGGACATAGCCAAAGGGAGATAGGATTGAGGGTGGGAGGTGCGGATGGCTGGGGTAAAAGGTAAGTGGTGGGGGGAAAGCAGAGAACACTGTACTTGAATAACAATACCAAAGTAAAAAAAAATAAAATAAAACAAATAAAAAATTAAAAAACAAAAAATAAAGAATATAAAAATAATATGCTTGTGCTATTGTTTATTTGAATATCTTCTTATGCTTACCTTTTGAGGAATGTACCATCTAATGGACAAGATATGTCTAGAGCATAAAACAGAAAATCCACTCAAAGTAGTATATGCTAAATAACATAGAAGAGGCCTGGAGGGCTCGTTGGAGTTCCAAAAAGAGAGTAGTCTTTGAGGGACATCAGATTATGGCACGTGTCATAGTTAGAGAGGAGCTAAATAGAATTTGAATTGGATGTTGATCAGAGAGCCAGGCTTGGACTGGAGAAAGAGATGGCTGAAGAGGGAAAGTGATTGTGGCAGAGGGAAGAGGATGGTGGGAATGTGGGGAGCTTTGGAGGACAACAAGCAGACCCTTGTTCTTTGCATGAACAGACTTTTTTAAAAATCATGAAATAGTGAAAGGTAAAGTTCAAAATATAGAAAGGAGTCAGCTTTTGATGAACCTCGAAATGAGGAGTTATTCTAGTCTTTCTTGAACCCCATCAAAGAGGGTGTAGATATTTACCTACTGTAAGTGTCTTTATTGCAAGTCAGTTTGGAAGGCTGCTCCTTGGTGGGAATCCAGAGAATCCTAATGCTCTGTCAGCTGCTCTCATGCAAGTTGGGAAAGGTCACTGTGGTGTTTGAACTCTTCAGGAGAGCTGCTCCCTAAGGATGACAAGGTACATTTACTGTACTTTCCCAGCGCAAAGATCAAAATGCCCCAAAGGATTTAGAGATCCACTAATTCAGTGGATGGGCAAGTTTCCCACTAAATGCCTCACTGACTCTATTAGCTACAGCACTGAGAATATCAACTCATTTCCACGAATGACAAGGAAAGGCTCCATCAAAAGTGATAGCTTCTTTAGTTCATCAGATCTCTATTCACCGAAAAAACATTATTGTCCTTGTGGTTTGTGCTTTTTGATTGCTTTTGTGAAGACAATCAAAAGGCAAAATATATAGGTGGAAACTTAAATTGACTTTGTATCGCTAAGATTCACCATCTTCAAAAATAGTAGGCTAGATTAATGCATTTCTGATTTCAAGGTGCTTTAAAAAAAAAGAAAGGTCTTTCCTGCACACAATAATTCTGTCAGACAATGAGCTGTGGAAGAAAATATTGTATGTGACTTATTTCTGGGGGCTTTGAAGAACAAAAATATTATCTTTTACTTTATATTATAATGTGTCTGAAATATCAGATAAAATATGGTCATAATATGCTAAGGAACTTTTCAGTTACAGACTTTTTTCTTTCTATGTGTTTGTTTCAGGATCTAAGGGAGGAGTGTGTAAAGTTGAAAACAAGAGTGTTTGATTTGGAACAGCAGAATCGAACATTAAGTATCCTATTCCAACAGCGACTCAGACCAACTTCTGATCTGCTCCTGCAGGTATGTGGTTTTGTGGAAAACCATCTTTGCTACTGAAATGCTATCCACAAGAAGTTACTTAAGTTCAAAAATTGTCAATATCTCCATAGGCAAGCCCTATTTTGTCAGAACCTTGATTCTTTCCTTCTCAAGGGATGCCATTAAAATTGAACATCTCTCAAATTTCTGACTTTTTAAAGCTACGTGTAGATAAAAATGCATCAACAAATAATAAACAGTAGAAGAGACCATCAGAAGGTCTCCTCTAGTAAACTAAGCAAAATCATGGAAAGGAATTAGAAAATAATTGATTACTTGGGGGGACCAGTATTAGTAATCTTGTATTGCATAATAAAAGCAAGGAAGAATTTTATGTAATGCCTGGGGTTTGTTTTTCTCCTTTCTCTCATCTCTTTCTGTCTCTCTTCTCTCTCTCATTCCTCCTCATAACACAGTACTTTCTATAATCTGCTCAGTGCTTTATAAGTTCTCTTTGTCTAAATGCTCCCACCAAACTTCTGTACTTGGCTTTATAGCATGCAAAGTTGCAAAGTTGTAAAAAGTCAAACTATCAGCTGACAAAGTTCTCAAGAATATATCCGACCACAGGAAAACACATGAATTAGCAAAGGGGACTGGATGGCAGGTCTTTGCTGTTTTCTGTTTTTTAAAAATCCTACTAATGTGCATATTTGCTCAAACAAGCTTTGCTCAGAACACTCTGAGGCCCAGCTTACAAAGAGTATATGAGGTTTCACAGGGACAATAAACCCTTAATTTATAAAAAAAAATAACCCCCAGATACCTGGTCTCATTGGCTGAGAAAAAAGGAAAAGACTGGGGTGTCTTCTGAACTACACTGCCCACCATGGTAGCCACTAGCCACATGGCACTATTAAAGCTGAAAATTAGATTAAACTAAAATGAAGTCCCTATGTCAAAGTAGACACATTTCAAGTGTTGAAAAGCCACATATGGTGGGTGGCTACTATATTAGTGTGTATATAGAACATTTCCATCATCTGAGGAAGTTCTGCGGGACAGCACTTTTCCAGATAGTTGAGACAGTGTTACTAATTTATCCTCTGAACTTTGGCATAAATAACTTTCCCTGACTCCTCAGAGAAATAATGAAAAATTGCAGTTCATTTCAAAAAGAAAGATGTTTGGTAAAACTAAGTATCAAAATGTAATCCCCCCAAATGAAAATAAAACAGCTTTCTGAATTGTAAAATAGATCTCATCTCTTAAGTTAATTTCCTCTCCACTTCATCTGCTAGAGCATAATTCATAATTTATGACTCAAAACTAGTGTGGAAAAAAAATCTCCTATCTTTATTCTGTTTCCTAGTCCCAGCCCCAATAAATGTTGGTCATAGAGAATCTTGCATCTGTCAAAACTTGTATTTATTTTCCTCTCTCATAATCAAGACCAATATTATAATTTTAACAGCTGTTGCATGTTGATGAATTTTTCTGTTTTCTGTTTTAACTTGCGGCTTTTCTGAAACAATGTTTAAAGATCTGTGTACTGTCTGTTTATGAATGACAATGATTTGTTTCCACAGTAAAGATGTGTGCCATAGATATTTAAGCTTTTTCATTGGCTGTCACAAATTTCTTAAATGCATATTCAAATGTCAGGGAATGGTGTATATGCTTACAATAGAAGTCACTGTTTATTCATTGGGTGTTTTCAGCCAACACATTTCCAAGAGCCATTGTAATATAAATGGTACTTGAAAAGGAAAAGCTGGTAAATAGCTCTCTGAAGGAGAGTGATAGAAAGTGTGATGCAGACCCTCTAACACCTTACAGCTCACAATTAGACAAGTTGCTGGCTTTTTAGGTGGTCTGTCTATTATTAGACTCATGAGTTTTCATTCAGGTGGCACACATACATCTGGAGCATTGGCTAAAGGAAAAGTAGTCTGAGCTTGCTTTGCACCTATAGCAGCTCTGTAATTGCTTGCTGAATGGAAGGGTGAGTAAATGACACAAATTTTCTCTGCAAGTTGGAGAGTTATTTTGCATACACTTGAGATAATTTTATGCCTCTGTGTCTCCTTCTGAACTTCTGTCTTATCTGGAGGTTTTGGAACTGTGCAGCCATGTTGGATCAGCCCAGTCTGTTTGAGGGTGTGGTTGGTGGACACTGCAAATGCACCTCTGTGCCTGGTCCCAAATATTATAGACCTTATAGCTTCTGCCCATGGACTGGAGATTCGGGAAAATGGGTTTCCAAATAGTTTTCTGCAAATCTTAGGAAACTGTTTTAGTTGTCATCTGCTGAATACAGTCTGATGGTTCTCCATAATCTGAAGTAGCCACCTACAGAGAAATATAGAAAGAAGACTATTGAAACAACCCATTGTGATTTTAGTAGATACATCACAAAAAAGTGGAAAAGAAAATAATTTATAAGAAACAGTCAATTATTTGTCCCTCCAAAATAGAGAATAAAAGATTGCATAGATACTATTGGGCAACTTCTTGTTTAGGAGGGACATTAAAGGGATACTTCTAGGACTAGTTGACAGATTCTAGGAAACTTACAAAGGTAATCATTAGTTCCATGGTGGGAAAGAAAAATGCCTAACTTGAAAATTAAAATGTTAAGAATGGCAATAAATTTCTCTGTTGATTCCAATTTTCAGATTGATATCGCTGGGACTGTGTATAGTTACAAATCAGATTAAGAGGGCCTACTCTATGAAAATCAACAATTTGAGCAAACTTCTAAGGAATTGAGAAGCCAGAATTACAAATGAAATCTAAAACTAATGGTCTTAATGGAACTAGGGTCTCTAACTGAACTTACTTGAACTACTGGCCAGATTAACAGATACTCACTGCTTCCTCTTGTATATAATATATTAAACAACACTCAATTTACTGAATGTGGGCAACTAACAGAGAGCTCTATACTAAGTATGCTTACTACTCTTACAAGTTCAGTTGAACGCTCACTGTGAATGAATTGTGTTTGTAACTCAGTATGTTTATGCCAGTAGTACATATCATAGTAAGTATGTATATTTTTAACTACTATATAAACCAATGGTATATGGTGCAAAAAGAATTGTTTCTACCAAACAAGGTTGAATGCTTTGAAGCATCTAGAAAGGCAAGTCACTAAAAAGGAATGGTTATGATCAAATAAAATATAGGTCTAACTGTAAAAAAATTGTGGGACACAAGGAACTGTGTTAAGTATAGAGGCATTCTGCATGCAGACTGCTTCTCAAGTGCCTTTGAATTCTTGTCCCACTGTTAAGAAAACCAAACACTAGAAATCATACACAATGCACAAAGCATGTATTTGATGCAAAAACAAACAAATGTTGGAGAACACTAATATTTGGATCCCTAAGCAATGAAGCTTATTTGGCTCTACCAAAAATGTTATTTAACAAATACATTGTGTTTATCATGTATCAAGTACTATTCTATAAACCCTACAGTATTCACCAATTTAATCTCCATTATGACCCTTGAGTAGAAACCATCACTGTACCCATTTTGCAAATGGGGACACAGGCACAGAGAGTCTAAATCACCAGCTGGTAACTGACAGACTGGGGACTTAAATCCCCAGTGTGTCAGTTACCAGCTGGTGATTTAAGTCCACAGTAAGACTTGAATTCCTCCCTTTTACCTCTTTTCTCTGTGCCCTCTGCATAAAACACAAATGGACATGAGGGGCATTTTTGTGATTCCTACTCTGACATTTTGATTAAATGCCACACCTGTGACCAAGTCAGATCAGAGGCTTCTGCAGTGTAATTGTAATAAGAACATACCATTTTTATGCATTCCTGAAAGGCTCTTGATTTGTGGCCTCCAAGAATTTCCCTTCTCCTGCTTTTGTCTTGTTTTGGATATCTGTATTATCATCTTGAAAGTACATCAGTCTCGTATTTTTCACCTAACACAGTTTTTTCTTTTCCTTTTTATCTGTTATTTCAAAGACTCCTGGTACCCATATCCTTAGGCCAAGATAAAAAGAAAAGAATGTTATAATGTAGATTATTCACACAGTTGAAAATCTCAACAACTTAGAAAAAAAGTGTAAAAATTTGCTGTCACTTCTTAGGAGTGCTGACTTTTTTGTTTGCTAGTGCTTTATTTTATATTATTTTAGATGAGCTGAGAGGATTTTAGAATTCTACATGTGCTTTTGATTTTTTTTCCCTACACTAAATCTTTATTTTCAGAGTATAAATCTATCCAAGAGTCTTATTTGGCAGGACACTCAACTACACACTCACCTGTCCACGAGCCTGAATCCTATTTTCTGAGAAACAACCAATGCTGCCACCTCTTAGGAGCATTCCAAGGTCAATGTGGTTCTCCCTTCATATCGCCTTGCTGGAGCTCCTCTGGCATTGATGACTCATGCCACACAATCAAGCAGTTCATGGTCCAATATGGAATTGTAATCTTCATCTCATCCCTTAATGGCGGACATCATGCAGTGCAACCCCAGGCACTAGGGGTTGCATGTTAACTTTTCTTTTCACCTAAACAGTAATCTACATCAGGGCAAGAACTTTGTGAAAGTGGTATGTTACCCTTCCACAGATATAATCCCTGTTCATGGTAAATACTTAATATGTGTGTTGATAACTTAATACTTACATATAGACATTATTAATTTAATTTAATTTAATTTTGTGTGTTGGGGGATATTTTCTTTTCTTTGTTTATTTGCTTGATTTTTTATGCAATAATCTCATTTCCCTTATGCTTTTCCTTGCAGTTTTATTGAGATATGTAAGTTTAGTGAACACCTAGCACCTTACATAGTTACTATTTTTTTCTTGTGATGAGAACTTTAAGATCTACTCTCCTAGCAATTGCAAATATACAACACAATATTGTTAGCTATAGTCACCATGCTCTCCAGAACTAATTTATCTTATAAATGGAAATTTGTACCTATGATTAACTTGGTCAATTTCCCTGACCCCACCACCACACACCTTTGGCAACCATCAATCTATTCTCTGCTTTTATGA